TTCACACTCAACGTCTCCGAACATGGACGTCAAGCTAAGCAAGGACAAAAATGGCAGACTTTACTCAACACTACACTGAAAACCCACTGACACAACGGCCCTACTTAACTTTTTTTCTAACCATCTTAGGCATCAAAAACTAAGAATTGTATAGTGTCAGTCCCTTCGATACAATAAAATCATCTTGAACACAAGGGACCTGGAGGAGGAAAAAATCTGGCAAAAGATCTTATCACAAAAGGGTACCCTCTAACCGTGATTAACCACAAATTTCGAAAAGCCTTCGACAAAACTCAAGAGGAACTGCCCGGCAAACCAAAGGAAGTCATTAACGATAATACCCGCAACAACAACTCACACATCTTACCCATCATTCTATCTTTTGACTGCACAGGAAGAAAAATACAAGAGATTGTCGTAAAACATTGGAACATAATTGAAAACGACGAATACCTTCACTGCATCCTACCGCACAAACCAATGAGAGTCTGTATAAGCCACAAATCTATAAAAGACAAATTATTAAGAACAAGACACGGGCAAGCCCCGCAACACACTGTTGCCAGAAGAACGACGACGACGGCAAAATAACATGAAAACATTGTCCTTTGATGCTACATGTAATTAGAATTGTGTTTGTAAATAATAGAATTGTGTTTGTAAATAATAGAGTTGTGTTTGTATATAATACAATTGTGTTTGTTAACAAAAGACATGTTACACTTTTAATGATGTGGTTTTTACTCTGCTCTCCTCGACCTATGTCCTTCTCAGTTCCCCGCAAAACTTAACCAACACAAGACAACTAGATGTAAAACGTCACAGAAGATACCAAATGACGCAGGTTAAAATCCCTCCCACCTCCTTTTCCTTCTCTGCATAATCTTATCTTTCTCACTTGAACGTCTGTCCAATCTATATATATATATATATATATATATATATATATATATATATATATATATATATATATATATGTATATATATATATATATAAATATATATATATATATATATATATATATGTATATATATATATATATATATATATATATATATATATATATATATATATATATATATATATATATATATATATATATATCATATATCTTATATATCATATCATTAAAATAAATACAACTAACGTAAGAAACAACTAACATTGGAATAACTTTGTATTTATTTTGGAGAAATAATAGCCGACGTTCGCGATGTATTTACATACGTTGTCCCTACGTAAGCATGGTAGCTGGGTGCGCATGACTCTGGAAAATGAAATAAGTGCAATAATAAAACATAAGATATTTAAAATAGTAGAAAAAGCCAATAAGACCATAAAAATTTTACTAGATGATTGTCAAATTGCTTAACTAGAATTGTAACTCGAGTTTTTTTTTTTTTTTTTTTTAATTTATTTTGTTATCTTCATAATAAATTATTTTTTAATATTTTTTGTTAAGATGTGACAGCAGGCAGAAGGCAAAAACATTTATTATTTAGCTCAGTTTTGTCATTTACATATTTAACAGATAATAAGCTGTTATACAAAAAAGTATTACAGTATCAGCAAAATAATATGAAATGATTTTTAATAAAAAGTATATATATATGTATATATATATATATATATATATATATATATATATATATATATATATATATATATATATATATATGTATATATATATATATATATACATATATAAAATTATACAATCTACATTAGTTATACCAGGTTACGAACCATAAGCATCTAGTTCTCAACTAAGAACTCTAAATACTGCACCACGGCTGACGCGTCAAAAGTAAAATGCCTTTATCTCACAATATTATTCAGAAGTTTTAAACATTCTAAAGTGTTGACACTTTAGAATGTTTAAACCCTAAGAATTTAAGTTCTATAATATTTTTAGGTTATATTTTATTTTTTATTTTTTACATAACCGATCTATAATACTTACAGCGTAACCCATTTTTTATTTCCTATTATTGAGTTATAGCATTTTAATGTTAGTTATCTCTTAACCATTCTATACGAGCTAGAGATAACACAATCTGTTTTATCTATACCTTTACTTTAACATACAATGCGCAACAGCTGCAGCATTTGTAGTAATTACTACTTATTCTTATTACACAACATATATAATAACTTGTTATTATATATGCTTTTATGATATAGATGTTATTATATAAATGTCTTTAAATATAAAGTTATACTATAAATTACCGTTCATAGTTATTTAAAAGACATTAACTTTTTTTGTTTATGCGACACAAAGATCGCAAAAAGTAACCAACGGAGCCGTCTAGTTATATTGGCCAGGTAGATGTGAAAAAAAAACAGATTGTAGATTTTGTCGTTAAATAAAAAATAAAAATTATAAGAAAATATAAGATGAAAGGCCAGACTTTTGTAAAGTAGATAAGCAAAGAATGAACTCAAAAAGTTTATGTAGAACTAACATTCTAGTCACTCTGTGAGTAGGACATATGCAAGAAAGAACAATTATTTGATCCAATGATTTTAAAGACTGTTGATATCTGCAGGTGCAATGATGTAGCGCATTAGTATGTTCTGTTTAGTCGTCTAGTATGGTCTCGTTATGTTTTCGTTCGCTTTTAAATTGGGTGAAAAGAAAAGTAAACACACTCACTTCTCGCGCTTATGGGCTAGCACATCAGAGCGAGACGTAAGACCTATAGAGATTTCAACGGATCTAATGCACACATTAGTCACCGTAGGCCAAAAGTCATCACTCATAGCCAAAAGAACTACTGCTCTGTTTTGGTATGCACAATGATGTGTTATGAAGTGAGATTTTAGATCCGAGCACATAGTCAGCGAGTGCAGATTCGACGTGTATTGTTGAGCTTCCAAAAGCGGCATTGTCAGCTTAGTCATTAGATTATTGAGCACCGTAACCACATCCAGCTGGATGGTCTAATGTCCCTTTTGTTTTTCTGGTGTACATTGGAAAAATTCGGGCTCACCAGTCACAAAGAACAAGTTTTTTTGTTTGTACAACACAAAGGCTGAAGCAAGAACTCTTACACTACACTACGTCTCTGATATTAATATATAATAACTATTATTAACTATACAATAGCTTTTATAAATTTATCAGTCAGTTCTAACTTTGTCAGTATAAATTTTTATTGTGCCCTCTCTTCATCAACTTGAACTTTATTTTTGCGCAATTCTGGTATATCAGAGTATATCTGAAGCAAGAACTCTTACTATTACAATACGGCTCAAAAAATTAAAGAGCTTAACCTCACAATATTGTTTAGAAATTACACAGTCTATAGTGTCAAAAGCTTTTAAATTCTATAATATATCTATGTTATTCTTTATTCTTTTATTTTTTGCATAAACTATTAATAATACTTACTGCGTAACCCTTTTATGTTTTCTTTTATTGAGTTATAGCGTTTTAATGTTAGATATCTCTAAACAATTATATATGAGCTAAAGATAACACGATCTGTTTTATCTATACCTTAATTTTAACATACAAGCTAACATAAAGTTAGAACTTTAACATATCATAAATAATATATTTAATGCGCTGGAACCAGCGTCGAACTTTGGACCTTTTGGTTCTTAGTCAGAACCAATGTAATACGCATGCTGCGCCACAGCTGCAGCATGCGTAGAAGATACTATTTAATTTTATTACGCAGCGCATATAATAATTTGTTATTGTATTTGATTTTATAATATATATGTTATTAATTATATGTCGCTATAAATAAGTTATTGTATACAATACTTTTGATAATTATTCAAATGACTTTAACTTTTTTTAAAAACGCTATTTTTTATTTACTTAATATTTATGTTTATTTATGCACTTTAAGATGATTTAAAAGTTTTTCTTTAAAATGCTTTAATAAAAATCATAAGAATAATTAAAATGCTAAAGAGGGCAAAAAAAACATAGAATATGGACCATCAATAAATGTAAACGTGGACCGACGGGTCGAATTTTCAAATCTTTGGTTTCAAGACAAAATTATTTTTCTGGAAAAAAAATTGTTTAATGTTTGATAAAATAGTGTGTATTATCGTCTGTAAAACATGGTGGATGTAGGTTTAAGGTATTGGGCTGATTTAGTTGGAATGCCACAGGTAACTCTGTAAAAATAGAGGGAGTAATTGTAAAAGTAGTTTACTTGTACACTTAAAAATTTATGCTACCCTTTCGGAAAGGCAATTTATTGCCACCCATTTGTTCTTTTGTAAAAAAACAACTTTAAGCCTAAATCCAAAACATGTTTTTTTTTTAATTGTATAAGTTATTTTACTGACTTTGAGAACAATCAAATATTGAGTAGAATGGTTTAGCCACCTCAATCACAAGATTTCTCTTTTATCGGATTTTTATAGGAGTAATAAGGAGCAATGTCAAAAACAAATGCGCTATTGATGCATAAAATGTGGAAAAACTTGACTTCAACAAATTGGATGAGCCATTAAGTAGAATGCCAAGAATATGTTTGACGGTTATTGTTGCTAAGGTTAATTGAAAAGCAAGTAAGTTATAAACAAATCAAATGAAACTTTATATTTATTTTTATGTAAACTTAAGAAATAGAAAGATATGATACAAAAAAGTAGTCCTTGAAATCAATTTCTCTCCCATTTAAAAATTTTGATATCTTATATCGAAAAGAACGACCATTTACATAATTATGGACACAGTGCAAATACTGTTTTATATATAAGTTAATTTTTATATAGCAATTAAGTTTTTTCATTACATTATTAATATTATATATAATAACTATTATATATAATAATAAGTTACTTATTGCCTAATCTTTACATATAAGTTTAGCTCAACCAATTTATATTAGTGACTTATTACAAATTCAATCATGCTCATATATACATCTACAATAAAGCATATGAATATGTGTTTGCGTACTGATATTCTTTTTTTTTTACCTAAATTGAAATGATTTTTTTTGAAATAAAAAACAAAAAATAGTCAAAAAAAAACTTGATGTTTTTCCAATAACAGCAGAATTAAATATTACGTAGAAAAAAAAAAATTTGATAAGATAAATGTACAATATTTAAATCAAATCAAATATTTTCATAAAATTAAAAACTCAAAATTAACTCCGTCATATTCAAGAAAATAAAGACAGAAAAAACCACGTTTACAAGTTTCAAAGAAAAAGAATTTTGCTGTCTTAGATGCAGCTATGATGCAAAACGCCACTGTCTTTTCCGTATTTTATAACGGGCAAAATGTTTCAACCTAGATTTTTGAAATGTAAAAAAAAAAAAAAAAAAAATCATTTTAGCAAACAAGTGAATAATAAAATATAAATTAAAGAAACATAAATAATTTAATATGCAAATAAAATTATTTTTTTTAATTAAAATGTTTTTTTTAACCAAGTTAAATAATTTTTACTACTGCCTTTACTACATTTTTATTTATTTTTATTTTTTGTACATCACTTTTATTTATACACATTTAAAGGCTTCAAAACTGAAAGAAAAAGTTCCCAAAAGTTTATTATTAAAAAGTACCTATAAATTTATTGCCACACAATTTATTATTTGTAGTCATATTTTAAGAAAATTAAGGAAACATAATCAAAATCTAAAAATAATAGCATTCAATAAAGTCCGATGCATTCACCTACGCCTGATAAACATAGCAAAGCCTTAGTGAAATGTTTTTATTTGCTAAAACTTTAACAATAATAATAAATTATTCTAAAAACCATTGAATTATTTTGACTTTAGATTATTATTTGAGTTTTAGAGTTTTATACTGCTGGAATTGTATTTCTTCATTTGAAAAAAAACTGACTAAAGTAACGCTAACTATTATGTCTCAGCCATTTACTGTAACTAATGATTGACTGAGAAGACTTCTTTGTTTGTGCGTGTAAAACTCTGCAAAATTTTGTATAAATTTAAAAGTCTTTTAAGTATAGCTTGAACAATGGAAGTAAATATATTGAACAATGGAAGTAAATATATTGAACAATGGAAGTAAATATATTGAACAATGGAAGTAAATATATTGAACAATGGAAGTAAATCTTTTAAGCAATGGAATAAATATATTGAACAATGGAAGTAAATATATTGAACAATGGAAGTAAATATATTGAACAATGGAAGTAAATATATTGAACAATGGAAGTAAATATATTGAACAATGGAAGTAAATATATTGAACAATGGAAGTAAATATATTGAACAATGGAAGTAAATATATTGAACAATGGAAGTAAATATATTGAACAATGGAAGTAAATATATTGAACAATGGAAGTAAATATATTGAACAATGGAAGTAAATATGTTGAACAATGGAAGTGAATATATTGAACAATGGAAGTAAATATATTGAACAATGGAAGTAAATATATTGAACAATGGAAGTAAATATATTGAACAATGGAAGTAAATATATTGAACAATGGAAGTAAATATATTGAACAATGGAAGTAAATATATTGAACAATGGAAGTAAATATGTTGAACAATGGAAGTAAATATATTGAACAATGGAAGTAAATATATTGAACAATGGAAGTAAATATATTGAACAATGGAAGTAAATCTTTTAAGCAATGGAATAAATATATTGAACAATGGAAGTAAATATATTGAACAATGGAAGTAAATATATTGAACAATGGAAGTAAATCTTTTAAGCAATGGAATAAATATATTGAACAATGGAAGTAAATATATTGAACAATGGAAGTAAATATATTGAACAATGGAAGTAAATATATTGAACAATGGAAGTAAATATATTGAACAATGGAAGTAAATATATTGAACAATGGAAGTAAATATATTGAACAATGGAAGTAAATATATTGAACAATGGAAGTAAATATATTGAACAATGGAAGTAAATATATTGAACAATGGAAGTAAATATATTGAACAATGGAAGTAAATATATTGAACAATGGAAGTAAATATATTGAACAATGGAAGTAAATATATTGAACAATGGAAGTAAATATATTGAACAATGGAAGTAAATATATTGAACAATGGAAGTAAATATGTTGAACAATGGAAGTGAATATATTGAACAATGGAAGTAAATATATTGAACAATGGAAGTAAATATATTGAACAATGGAAGTAAATATATTGAACAATGGAAGTAAATATATTGAACAATGGAAGTAAATATATTGAACAATGGAAGTAAATATATTGAACAATGGAAGTAAATATGTTGAACAATGGAAGTAAATATATTGAACAATGGAAGTAAATATATTGAACAATGGAAGTAAATATATTGAACAATGGAAGTAAATCTTTTAAGCAATGGAATAAATATATTGAACAATGGAAGTAAATATATTGAACAATGGAAGTAAATATATTGAACAATGGAAGTAAATATATTGAACAATGGAAGTAAATATATTGAACAATGGAAGTAAATATATTGAACAATGGAAGTAAATATATTGAACAATGGAAGTAAATATATTGAACAATGGAAGTAAATATATTGAACAATGGAAGTAAATATATTGAACAATGGAAGTAAATATATTGAACAATGGAAGTAAATATATTGAACAATGGAAGTAAATATATTGAACAATGGAAGTAAATATATTGAACAATGGAAGTAAATATATTGAACAATGGAAGTAAATATATTGAACAATGGAAGTAAATATATTGAACAATAGAAGTAAATATATTGAACAATGGAAGTAAATATTTTTGCTTGAAAAGCTTTTGATAAAATCTTTACAACTAAAACAACGTTTTGGTTTTATCAAAAATGTTAATTGATATTACAAGTTTACTTCGTTCAGATACCTTGTAATTTGTAAAAATATAATAATTTTTTCTTTATCTTATTATTATTAAATTCTCTTTTAAGGTTCTAACGACAAGATCCTTGCGATCTTCTTTCATTTACCTTGTTTGTAAGTTTATGTTGATATTTTGATTACTAGTTATATAAACTTCTACAACAATCAAATGTAAACCAAAAAACCAAAAAACTAAAACAATATATATATATATATATATATATATATATATATATATATATATATATATATATATATATATATATATATTTATATATATATATATATATATATATATATATATATATATATTTATATATATATATATATATATATATATATATATATATATATATATATATATATATATATATAATGACGCAATATTGTTTACAATATTTAGTCAACATAACTACGGAAACTTAATCACAACTCTTCTCTTTATTTCTTTTAGCCTAAACACAGTTTAATAATAACAGTGCGACATAACATTAACAATTCTACTTAACGATAACTCGCTTTTTAAATACTGTATCTCATTGTAGAGACTAAAAAGTAGAAAGAAAAAAAATATAGTTTAAAAAATTTGCTAAAAAATATAATCTTTTTTGTAATAAAAAGCGGAAAGTAAACTTTTTAACTGAAATTTACTAATTAATTAAACTAAATATTGCCAGTATTGAAAAAAACAAAATACAGATGTAGATTTATTTGTCACCAATGAATTTGAATTACCATTTAACTGATAAATATTTTGGTTACTTTTTTAAAAAACTGCTGGCTTCTTTAGGCTTTTAGTCTTGTTTATAAATAAATATTTGCTGTTTTCAGCACTTTTTATTAATAAAAATCAGATTTTTATATATAAATACTCCACTATTTTTAATTTAGATATACCTCTTTGTTATTCATTAAAAGATCTTTATAGATAGCTACAATAATGTTTTTTTCCTGTGCAAGAGAGGTTATCCTTTAGACACAAATAAAGCATTTATTTGATATATGTTTATATATATATATATATATATATATATATATATATATATATATATATATATATATATATATATATATATATATATATATATATATATATATATGTATATATATATATATATGTATATAAGCATTTATTTGATATATGTTTATATATATATATATATATATATATATATATATATATATATATATATATATATATATATATATATATATATATATATGATATAGGTTGCTATACAATCTATAATCTATAAATATAAAATCTGTTTATAATCTAAAAATTTAAATTATCGTGTCTATTGAGATTATAACTAAAACTTATAAACAATAAACAACGCCTTAAAGATCTTTTCCTTAACTTTTTACTATATACATCAGTTGATGTCGTTTTTGATGGTAATATATTTCTTAATTTGTGATGTAACATTTATTACTTTTATTCCCTCAAGATATAATTTGAACATATACAACCACTTATGATATTATTTATAAGAATAAAAAAGAAATACCATTTACCTTACTCAAGTAGTTAAGTATTGAACATAAAGATCCATCAACTCCGTTTCTTCTATAATAAGGATCTGATCGCCAGTTCGCTTGCATCCACTTTCGAAAGAAATATTAAAATAAAAATTTTTTATTATTTTTATTTTTTTTTGTTTTGTTTTTTTTTTGTTGTTGTTTACTGCATTACATTAACACATTATTCTATATATTAAAAAATCGAAAATACTAAAACCTAACCATTAAAACAATATTTTAATGAAATTTGTAAAAATTTAAAATGTAGAAGTAACACAACTGCTATAATTTTACCATGGAGAGTCTTAATGTTTAGCATGCTTTATTTAGTTTAATTTTTTTGACAACAATTGGTATGAAATTGTTTACTATACTCAATAGCTATAAGGTTTGATTGAGCAACTCTGTGACATTCAATTTAATATCTACGTTTATATCCATCTACATTTAATATACATCTACATCCATCATCTTTAAATATTTTCTATAAAATAACGTTTTTTTAACTTAAAACATAGACACGACAAAATCGGAGAGAATAAAATTTCAACTTAATAAATTACCTAATATAAAATGAAACTATGCACAAAATACAAAGCAATACTTAATATAATTTTAAAAACCTGAAAAAAAATGCAGTAAATAAAATAGTTATACTTACCAAGGTGAACAAAGAAAAAATTAGGGTAGAAATAAATTAAATAAAAAGCATCACATATATGAACTTTTTAAAAAAGTTAACAAATAATTGAACGACATTCAACAGATTGAAACCTAAAAAAAATTTCTTTAACTGAGAAAATGACAAACAGAAATAAAATTTACAATTGAAAAGCATATTAGATCAACATTATAAAACTGCTTTACAATACATAAGCAGTTGATTTTGCAGTTGATTCCTAATTTTTAAGGATTAGACAAGTAGTAGGGAATTCAATGGCGATTAATATTTATTGTATGTTAATTTATCGATTGTTTCATTTTTGTTGAATGTCCTTTAACTAACATTGCAATAAATTGTTATTAAGACTTTAAAATAAATAAAGTATTTTTATGTGAGTTAAAAATGTTTAAAATATCTATTTTTGAGTTACTTACTTTGACTTTATTTAGGCAATGTGGGTATAAAGAGTGATTTGGTACAGCACAAGGACAAAATCTTTCAACCTATAAAAATAATTTTTTACATTTTTTATATGCATTTATGATAACATCATTAAATTAAAAAAAACTGCTATTTACCTTACTTAAGTACCTTATTATTGAACACACTGAACCATCAACTCCATTTCTTCTGTAATATGGATCTCCTCGCCAGTTTGCTTGCATCCACTTTTGAAGAAATAAATGTATAAAAATAAATCTTTGATTATGTATTGACAGCAATACATTGACAAACAGACTTAAAACAACAACTTCAAAAAAATTTGTTCAAATATATTTTGTCCTAATTAAAAATAATATGTTAAACTCTTGGTATAAGCACATTATATTATAGCTCAAGAAATAGCATTTAGGGGAGTTCAGGCCTCATTCTTTACCAATGATGCATATGTGACTAAAGTTGGCTTTGAACCAGGGACTTAAAAATCTGCAGTCAGAACAATAAACGTTACACCAAGGTTGCTATTCAAAAATACAGAAACACGTATGGGATCTTAGGGTCATGTCACCGAAAAATGTTAAACAATACAACAGTGATAAACCAATTGTTTCAAAAACATGTACAAAAATAAAATAAAGTCTACAAAAGCAATACAAATTTGATAGGGTATCTAAAATATAAAACACAGTTTATAAACGCAACGAAAATACTATCAAAGTTTGATGATTAACATGGATCTTGATATTTTCAATCTAGTTGACCTAAAAATGCCACTTATATAAGCTGATAGCGTAAACATCAAGGTACTCCACGATGCAAACATTAAAATCTCTAAATAACTCAATTAGAATGTTCTAATCAAATGAAATTTTGAGTTTTTAGTTTTTAATAAAAATCAATCAGTCGGATCGGTAAAGTGGTTTAAGATTTATGGCAGCTTTTAGTTTATATTTTGTTAGTTTTTTGCTACATGGGCCTTAAAACGTTACCGATAATTTGTTATTCGATTTATGATATTCCATCAGTTATTTCAAAATAGAGTTTACATAGTAGACTGTTTTACTATGTAAAATCAACAATTTTTACTATAGTTACTTTATTGCCACATGTTTTATAATTCATAGACAAAAATAATAATTTACAACTTTAAGATTTTTTTGAATTGGTTTACGAATAGCTTAAATATCTTACTATTTCCTATTAAAAAATTAAAAAAAAGTGCAAAACCTGGCTAAAAGGCTATTAGTTGGTATATGAAAAAAAGCGTTTCTATTTTAAAAAAATTTCATTTGCCTTTAAAACCTTCTATAATATATTAACTTTCAAAACTAAGTGAAAAAATACTTATATAAACCCGAGTTTTTGCAATTTATTACTATTATTTAACCTCTTGTTAAATTGTATGACATGAACTTTGTTTTTTTCCACAAAAAATTCATTCAAAAAAGGTTAATATAATTTTTTAGTCAAATGCAAATATTTTTACACGCAGTATTAAAAATAATATTTACTAGCAGCATTAAAGGATTAAAATGGTTAAAACCTTTAGTTTCTATTCAAGCACTTTTAAAGTATCTTGAAAAGAATATAAACAACTTCTATAAAGAGATCCAGTTTCATCGGTGGAACTATTTCAAAAATAAGATCATTCTCAGGGTCACTGATGACAGGCTTTCGAATGACATTTCCAAACAACTTTGCGCGGCAAAAACTACGCTAGATTACTGAAAAGAATCGAGGCTAGATTTAATTAATCCAAGTGTTTGCAAGTTTTCAGATTTAGGACTTGTATTCGTTTTCGCAGCATGTATAGGGCTGCATACTTGAATGGGTTTGACTACCATAAAGTATATTTGCAACTTTCATATCGCAATCCAAAGTTAGTTCAACTCCATTTGCATTATTCAATAATCAGATATGTTCAATCTAAGAATGGGTTTCTGGCAAACCTTATGATATTGCAATAGGAATGTGACTCTTAACTCTAGTGTCTCACCCGTCATTTGAGTCAGAGGTTTTTTTTAAAGCGGTAAGCTAGTATCAACCATGTTTCAACAAATTTGAGACGGAACCGTGTATCAACAAATTTGAGACGGAACTTGAGAAAACATTTACCACCATCAACCAGAGCCAACGACACCCGAGGTGCAAAAGGGCCATTATTTACAAATATTAAACATATTGAGAACTTTTTTTAAAAAATGTTGCTTGTGGCCCTTCACTTGGAAACACGAGTCGTCGACCGTACCCATTCCAAAACAAAATACTTATTATATAAAACAAGATAATACATAATTAAAAACATGCGATAAATTGCAACAACAATTTTTCTGAAAACAGTAAAGAACATGACGTTAAATAATGGTGTAGGGATGTGTTTGCTACATTTGTGCTGAATTTTAGCTTTTAATCAGATTTTCCATAATATTTGTACAAATTTTTTTTTAACGTCTTTTTCTTTTGTCATTTTTGAAACTTATTTTAAGGTAATTAAGAAAGCTAAAACATTTTTTTAAAATTTGCACATGTTGCCAACAAAATACGAACACAATTAGAAATAAATTAAATCAACTATTGAAAAAAAATGACATATTTATTATTTCACATTTATTTTGTGTACACGTCTTAGTTCCTTTAGGGAATGATTATTTATTTGAATTAATTTAAGATACAAACTGCTTAATTGCTGCTAAAGATTGAATGTTTTCCCTGAACTTCATTTGAGAGCATTGATAATGTAAATTTTTTCTTTAAGTGCAGAAGATTGTGCTGCAACGTTTATTTGGTTTGTTTTTGATAGCGCTTGCTTTTTAAGATGATGTTTTTCTTGCAGCTTTCAACGGCAAATTTGGCAGCTAAAGCAATAACACATCGTGCCTCTTGTTTCAGGTCTCACTTGTATTGACTTGAAATTAAAAAAAAGAGGGAGTACAACTTCCTCCCGCTCTTGTTTCCTCCGCAAGATTGTTCTTTAGGTTCGCTCTTGTGGTGCCCGAGAATCAATTTTGTCTAGTACAGTTGGCATATTCGATAAGCTTAAAAAGCAGTAAGCTGTCTTGGAGCAGTGAGCTGTATAAACTTTTTTCAGACAGAATAAGCACACAAACTTTCATTTTTTATCAAGAATCTTTGCTTTATTTTGCATAGTGGCTATTCACTAAGTTGAACTTTTTCAAATCAAACTATTTCTTTTTACAAAATCTAACCTGAATTTGTATTGGATAACAATACATTAATATACTTACAAATATTAACATATACCTAAAAAAAACTTAGCCGCCACATTTACCAAATAAAACTAGGAGAAAGATAATGATTACCCTTACGGAAATATTCCATGGATAACCCATGGAATTCCATGAGTAAACCATGGTTTTCCCATGGAAAACGGAATTTCCATGGGTGAATTTTATGAAAATTGAAATCCCATGGAATTTTCATGGGTGAACCATGGTATGATACATGTTTTATTTTCATTGCTATAATACATGTTTTTTTTTCATTGCTTATGCTGCGCCATTGTTGTTATGAATGCGCTTTTAAAGATGTCGTCATAGCTCGTAGAGTTACGATTACTTTTAACTTGAGTAAACAATACTTAATTAGGGATTGCAATCCCGGGCATGAATTACGATCAAGAGATTTCGGGATTGAAGTAAATAAAATCCCGGTATCCCGGTATCCCGGGATTTTATATAATGTGAGTTATCCAGTAAGCACAAGACGCATTTTAGACACTTATAGACGTCTAAAACTAGTCTAGGTAAAAACGCACTTTTATAGACGTTTTAAAGACATCTTTTAGACGTCTTTTATAAATGCGTTTTTAAAATGACGTTTAAAAGGCGTCTTTTTAAAAGATAATAAAACGTCTATAAGACGTCAATTTTTAAGACATCTTCTAGACGTCTTTTATAAAGGCGTTTGAATAAAATGACGTTTAAAATGCGTCTTTTTAAAGTTTAAAAAGACGTTTAAAAGACGCATAATAAATAGTCTAAAAGACGCATTAAAAGACGTCTAGATCAAGGCTAAAAGACGTCTTTTCTGTGACCTGTTTATAAATATGTCATTATGACTTCTTTTTGACGGCTTTGTCATTACGCGTTAAGAAGATGTCGTATATTCAAAGTAAAAACATAGTTTTTATTATTTTCAATAATTTGTTCAAGTTTTAAGTGTAAATTACTTTAAATTAAATTACTTTTTTACACAATTGCTAAAATTGTTGTCACAGGAATCACTAAAATAATTGCTATAATATTAATATATCTTTTTTTTATTAATAATTATTTTGCTTTTTTAATAGATAGTTGACTGATCATGATAATAAGTGAAAATGGCAAGAATAATATATAAGTTAAATATCAGCATTTTTAGTTTTTATACACCCACAAGCCATATAATAAGTCAAGTATGCGGTCAAAAATTAGCTATCATTACATATGTTAAATTTCATTATAACTAAAAATAAGTTATAAATGTTTTAAACACTGTTTTAATATATATATTTGTTGTTTTTTATTATTTTCATCTTTGATGCATCAACCGTTGGTGGTGACTACAGCAATATTATTTTGATTGCTGGTTCCTATGTATATCTTGTATATACGAAATTATAACAATATATGATTTTATAAATACAATGAATATATACCACATACTACGCGAAAATGTTACGTCATGTACTTAAATTTATTTTGAAAAAAACGTCTAAAATACGTCTAAAACGCGTTTTTATAAAGACGTCTTCATTTAGACGTCTTTTAGCCTTATGATCTAGACGTCTACAAGTGCGCCTTTTAGACCTTCTTAAAGACATCTTTAAAACGTCTTTTAAACGTCTTTGTGCTTACTGGGTATTTGCTAAAAAACAGAACTTAATACTGCATATATAAATATACTTTTTGATGTTATCAATTCTTTATTTAATTTCATTATGTTTTAATGACTTACATTAATTTTCTACGGCGCCTTAAATTGTTTTAGTTGTGTAACAGGCAGCAGGTGTATATAAAGATCTTAAAATAATGCAGAAATATATATACGGTACCTTCCATATTATGTTTTAAGATTACAGACTTTACAGAATAACCTTCATCAAATAATTGGATATGTAAATAACTTATGAACATTTAAAGTGTATATGACTAAAGTAACTAAACAATCAAAATTTCAAAATAAACTTGTAAACATAAATTTTCTTAAATTTGGGTACGATGTAGCT